CTTGGTTTTCACTGGGGAATGATCCCAGAACCTCCAGTCCTAAAGTATAAATGTTTACAATTTGAGTTAAAGGATTAAGTCCCCTAGTTAGCAGCTGAAGCAGACTCACCTCCAGTCATTAGAAGGGGCAATGACAACTGGAGAATGTCCCAACAGCCAGACTAAGAGGGAAATTCATCACCTGGACCTAAATCTTCCCCCCACATCCCTAAAGGGCCATCTCTGCAACACCGTCCCCTTTCCTTGATTACAGCAGGACAACTCACATGAGTAAAGTTATATGTACATACAGGTTTATGGCATAAAGCTCTTTGTGCCCACTTCTCAGCCCTAGTGCAATTGTACCAATACATGGAATGGTGTAAATGCTAGCATAGACAATGCTCAGGCGTTTTTGCCACGGTCATGAAAACATGTTCAGAGATGCCCTCTTTATACCAGTTTTAGTGTTTACACCGTACTGAGAAATATGTATTACAACTGATAGTGTAGATGCAGGTTCTGTGCAACATCAGTGGCTGCCGGTGCAAAGCCACAGGCAGGTGAAGAAAATGGTGGCATGGCTCCCCTAGTTGAAGCCAATGATGGAAAACAACAGAGGCACAGCTTTCCTTGCAGAGTGTCTCATGTCTCTGTTGCATTAGGGGGCTTCCCTCTGATTCGAAAATAGGAGCAGCCTCTAAAGTACATGTACCCATTACCTCTCCCACAAGAAGAGGTGGTTTGGGGAAATGTTGCTGAGGTTGACAGAATTTTCATCCCCCACAATGGATTTTTATCTAGCTCATATCATTATTCACTTCATTTTTCCTTCTTCTGGTCCTGTGCTGCAGCAACCAACTGTCTTCTAATTTGATATAATGATCTAGCATGAACCAGGCTGTGAAGTCACCGATTCCTCAGAATCACTGTGGGGAATGGAGCTAGCCCTTTGGTTAGTGGTGGTCAGCTCAGTAATTCTAGCTCCAGTCATTTAATGCTCCAGACTTGTTTCATGACAATATCTGGCATAAAAGTATCATGTAGACCAGACGTATGTTCCACTCAAGTATGTCCACGCTTGGCGCCCCAGAGCTGGAGACCTTCCCTCTCTTGTAGCAGTACCTGTAGAGGCAGCATGTGCACCCCACACCTCCTTGTGTCCCCTCCCGAGGCAATACAAGGGTGGTGCCACCCCAACCCCTCTCAGTTCCTTCACACTAGCGAGGATGGCCCAAAACTCCACTAAAGAGGAGTCAGAAAGCGGGTTGTAGAAAACACGTCTGCACCCACATCTCGAAGAACAACAGTCATAGAAAAGATAAGTAACCATTTTTTCCTTCTCCCAGTGGTTGCAGATGCATATTCCATTCATGTGACTCACAAACTGTAACATTCAACGTTTGTTCAAATAATGTCTGCAGAATTACTCTGCCAAAGTATGCATCAGCTCTGAAAGTAGTGTTGACCAGAGATTGACAAGTGAATATATGTACTGAGGACCAAATAGCGGCCCACTTAAAAACCACCTGGGAAGCACACTGAATCTTGTGAACCAAATCCTCCTACAAGGAAAAATGGGATTCCTAAGATGTTGTTTGGTTAAAGTTGGCAGCTAGGACCAACTACACCTTGGGTAGGTAAGTCACAAATAAGGGAATGAGACGCTCCAGTTGGTACACAATGCAGCTGCCTGTCTACTTAGCATCATCACGAACACAACATTCTGCACTGAAACCCCATAGAATCCAGAGTTCTCTTCAGGATCTCTGTCCCAATCAAACATCCTAAGGTTGGACCTAGCTACTTTGAGGGATCACCTCTCTCCCGCCAGGACCAGGACCTTCCACCAAAACCATGATAATGTTGATCAGCGGATGAAACAATCATGGGAACTGGACTTACACTATCACAAGAAATAACAACGAATGACCGTGGGCCTTCTCCTTGTCACCTGCCTGCATGAAAATGGGAAAAACCAGGCTCCTAGCTGAGAGCCTTTTGTTCAGTGGGAATAATTTGAAAGTTGGGCATATGCGAAACACAAGGGAGACCTGCTCTAGATGTAGGAGATGGGGGACGAAGAGGCTGGAAAGGAATGAGTCAAATAAGCTACAGCTCACTACGTCAGAGGATTATTTTACAAAAACAACATTGTCAACCAGTTGATAATGTATGTTCTGAACTAAACTGATATTGTATTACTGAACCCGAATTGTAGAAAAGCTTAATGTTCTCTGTATCCCATTCTGTCATATAATTTAAGATAATAATTACCTAATACATCATTTCTTAATGTAGCCAACTCTGAAACAAAGAATATTGAACATCTGCAAATGCATTCAGGTGATGATATGGTAAAGGTGCTTTTTAATCCTGGAAAAGTGCTACATTTAGTTCTTTCCATTAAAATATTTGCTCTTAATTTGTGTGCAATACTTGTCATGGTTACAGACCCCTTTTAGATCCTTTCAAGTGCACCCCTCAGATGACAGGACTGGCTTCCTGCACCTCTCTCAAGAGTGGAACCACTCTAGGAGTGGATCTCTGGGTGGCAATCCTTTGGTTTACGTTAACATGACAGGCCCAGCTTTGTTTGGCACTTCTAAGACCTTTTCCCCACAACCCTGTGATAGCAGCTGAATCAAATGACTCAAAACCAGCTTCTTCATAACAAAGCACTTTTTCACCCAAAGTTACATAGCACATACAGGAAAGGCCTACACACATTTCCCAATACCTAAACGTTAATGTTTCCTTGAAAGCTTTGGTGAGTTGCATTCAGCCCAGCTACCGCCATCTCTGGGCTGGAAGAGACAGTATATTTGAAGCAGTTTCTGTCTCTGACTCATCTCTAGCTGCTACTGACAACCCACTGAACCTCTCTTCTTTTTCAAGCCCCCCTTTGAATCTCATGTCAGGCTCAGAAGAGTAAACCTCCCTAACCCGCCTGGACCCAGGCAGGGGCATTTCCCAGTTAATAGTTCCATTGTTCTCTTAAGGAGACTTATCTCTGTTTTTGAGTCATTTCCCCTTTGCTTCCCCCCAAACAGCCTCATTTGACACAACTATACAGTTAGATAGGATTTCGCACAGGTAAACAAAGGAGCATATGATAAAAAAATAATACAAAACAACGTTCTAAGGGAGCATTGCTCAACTTTAAACGAGCATGTTCTCTAATTCAGAGGTTCTTAAATTGTGGTCCACGGACCACCAGAGGTCCGCGAGCTCCATTCAGGTCGTCCATGGATAATTCCCTTTAAGGTGCATGCCTGGGCGGCTGCACATGAGAGAATGATGGGCCACCTACCAAATTAGTGGAGCTGTGCAGGCATGGCTCCACTAATTAGGTGCCTGGACCCTGGAGAAGACGCACACGTAAGGTGAAGTGGTGGCCTTGGGGGGAATAGGGGTTAAGTGGGAGGGGGCAGTGGTATGAGAAGAAGGGGTGGGGGGGAATTTGGGAAGCGCAGGGCTGCAGTGGCCAGACAAAGAGGCAACTTTCCCCAGCTCCAGGGCTGCAGCTGCCAGGGAGAGATGACCTTCCTTCCCAGCCTCAGCTCTGTGGCTCCTGTGGCAGGGGAGAGACTCCGCTCCTTCCCAGTCCCAGCTTGGTGGCTGCTGCAGCAGGGGAGAGAGGAAGAGACCCTTCCCCTCCTTCCCAGCCCCAGCTCGGGGGCTGCCATGGTGGGGGAGAGAGGGCACATCCATCACATTAGAAAGGTTAAGACTACTGATATTAAAAAATGAGTTGTGTGCTTTTACGCATAGAACAAAAAACGTTAATTATGAAGGGTTTTTTGTTTAATATAGCACTTTTATCCAAGCGCTTTACAATAGTTAGCTAACGGTACAAACATCATTTGGAAAGATCATTAAGTGGTCTGCCGAGACCCTCAGCAATTTTCAAGTTGTCCACGAAAAAACGTTTGAGAACTGCTGCTTTAATTGATCAGCAACGTAACAACAAAATGTTAAGCAGGACGACTAAGTGAGGAGTTCCTGTATATTGGCTTACAAGGCAGGTGTGTGTGTGGCGGGGGGAGAGAAGACCTTAGAGACTAACAAATTTATTTGAGCATAAGCTTTCGTGGGCTACAGCCCACTTCTTCATAGCCCACAAAAGCTTATGCTCAAATAAATTTGTTAATCTCTAAAGGTGCCACAAGTACTCCTGTTCTTTTTGCGGATACAGACTAACACAGCCGCTACTCTGAAACCTCTCTTTCTAAAACAACCCTTAAAAATATCAGAGCAGAAAAACTCTTCATCCTTTATTTTTTTAAAGGGAATTAAAAATTGAAGACATGCTGTTTAATGGGTGGCACTATCAAAAGCTAGTTTTTTTATACTACCGCAGTACCGTTTTAATCACAATAATAGTTTGTTTTTTTAAAAATTGTATACTCCTTCTATATACTCTATATTATATATACAGCTTTTCCACTTGTGATCAGTATCGCTATCCTAAAATTCAAGTCAACAAAACTTTGCCACATAATACAATAATGAAAAGTTGTATCAACATAATTAGGGTATTCAGGTTTTGTTTTTTTCAAATTAAGGGAACATCTGTTTTAACAGAAGAGAGTATTTGTTATGTGTTAGATAGCTTCACTGCTTTGCAAGGCAGTAGAAGGAAGAATAATTTACAACAACTCAGGAGAAAGCACGTACTGCCCTTCAAGATTTTTGGCATATGCTAACCAGTACACACAGTGCTGTATTGTTCCTTCACCAGTGATTAATGCCTCTTTGATATTGTAAGACAACTGTCAACACAATCTTTTAAAACAAAGAACCACCATCAGGGTGTCTGGGTATTAGCCCTTTCAAAGTCTGACAAGTCCCCAGAAATGTAGAGTCATAAAAGCTGCATTAATCAGGTTGAATGATTAATATAGCCTTAAGATGTCCATCCTGAAGCAGGTGTGAAACTGTTTATTTAGTTTTCGTATGAGTGACCGACCTTGTCAGTTAAAGTGAACTTCTCAGACAAAAGTGCACATCCTGCTTACCAGATCCTCGCGTAGTTGGGAAATGAGTTCATCTCTCTCCTTCAGCTGCAACTTCAGCACTGAACATTCATCTTTCATTATATCCTATAAAAAAACATCAAAAAAGAGATGTTATAATAGGCTAGGACTTTTACTTTGCTCTTGACAAGAAAAGGCAGATTCACACAGTGTGAGATAATTACATCCGAGTAATGAAACTCAATTCTCCTCTGTTATGTGTGATATTTTTAATAACATATTCTGAGTTGCTGTATAAACAAACTAGTGCAGCCAAAGTCATTCAATAGCTTCCTGAATAGAAGTCCATTTTGTTAGTGTCTGATTCTTTTAAGCTTTTTTATTGAAGTTCCTTTCAGACATCTTACTTTAGTTTACGAACAAATGGTCATAAAATTCCTAATGTTTTCTGTGAGCAGAACTATGAGAAATATCAGTTTAGATGAATTACTGGGGAGTTCTCAGTCTGACTGCAGATGGAGAAAGGAAGCACAACAGACATTCACAAAAAGGAAAGCAACTCTTCCACCCACATATGTATGTACCATGACAGCAAAAACAGCAATGATACTGACACTAGTTGGGTGGAGGAAAAGTAAACATAGACCACTCTTCTTGCTTGATGGTGCATGTGTAATTAATATCTCTATGAGAATTTGATGCTCACGCAAATGAAAGTGCAAATAGCACCAACTACAGCCAAACTTGGATCTGTCAGGCCTGTTGCGTATTTTCCTCATAAAATTTTCTCCGTTCATTTCAGTCTTGACCAGCAACGTTTGCAGGCCTCATTTGAAAAAGGACTGTCATTCATATGTACTTTGTGATATAGCTATATACCCACGAGGGACTCAAATGATATCACCAGATTCCTTTTTAAGACCTAGTCCACCCCAGAAAAGCTATATAGCTATACCTCTAAAGGCACACCTTATTATTGTAGATCCAGGTTATACTGGCAAAAAGAGTGTTTTTGCCAGTGTATCTACATCTACACTAGGACTGTCGCCAGCATAATACTGCCATAAAAATATCACCTCCTAACCAACATTACTATACACCTCTACCCCGATATAACGTGACCCACTATAACATGAATTCGGATAGAACACGGTAAAGCAGTGCTCGGGGGGGGGGGGTGCGGCGCGGGGGTGCACTCCGGTGGATCAAAGCAAGTTCAGTACAACGCGGTTTCACCTGTAACACGGTAAGATTTTTTGGCTCCCGAGGACAGCGTTATATCGAGGTAGAGGTGTACCAGCAAAGGTTTTAAGTGTAGAACTGGCTTAAGTAACCTAACCAGGATATGAAGAAGTTAGATCTTCAGAAGTACACCTACCTCTTTACGGTATTTATGTGCTTGCAGTTCTAAACTAACACTCAAAACATAAAAGTGACATAAGTGATGAGTGTATTGTCTCATTGTTCAGAACTTTTTCCCCTTGGTAAAATGTTCAATTATAATAAGCACTTTTCAATGCAATTATACTGCTCAACTTCTGTTCTAAACAAACTAGAGGTGAAAAATTATAATGGGATGTAATACAAAATATTCACAGCTACAGAAAAATAGATATATCTGTACAAGATTAGAAATAAGAGCCTCACATCCTCTGTACTGTTAGTCTAGATACCAATGTAGTATTTTAGTGCTGTTGACTGGATAATATGGAGGGCCCAAGTTCTGGAAAAGATCAGGATTTCTCCTTGTTGGGCTTGAGGGAAATTTATGAAGGGGTCTATAATGGTTTATTATTTTTATCTACTCGTCTGTCTATTCAGTAAATAGGTCGTTCAAGAATGTTAGCTGAAAAAATATATATAAACTACTCAACTACCAAATACATCCCAGCAACGAAATATAAATAAAGCAGTGTTACATTTTTATTTATTTATTTTTACTTTTGAAACCTACAGATGCAGAAGACTAGAAAGTTATGGAATATAAATGCTCTCTTACCACTGTTTTATCTGAAGCCCCCTTATTCAAAATGGGGCCATTTTTTCTTGAAGACTAGCTACAAAACTGCGTCACATTTGATATTGAGTAGTCATGCCTCTCTTTCTATTTATACATGTCTAAATGTCTTATCTCAAGAGGGCATCACATTACTCCTTGCAATCTGCTTCTTTTGTCCTTGTTAAATGAAAGAGTCAAAGGAGTAAGTGAAGGGAGCGAAGCAAGACAACCCTAAGGAAGGACAGCGTATTACTAAAGTTTGCGAAAAATTATAAGATTTTAAAGGCATAGTAAATATAATAAAGCAGCAGTGTACAGTACATAGATTGTGACATACCTTACAGTAGCGGAGGGGCTGAACTGTGGCATTAAGCCATAGCTCTGTGTTGGAGGCTGTGCGGAAGCACAATATGCTAATGAGAACTTCATGAGACTTGGTGCCTCCAAAAGCTGCTAGGTACACAGAACAGGTGACGCTGCTGCATTAACCCTAGAGGAAATACCATCTGAACCATGATGCTACTCAGGCAGCTAACAAGCTCACTGCCTCTGGCCTCTCCTCACACCTCTCAGGGTCATTACTGCCATTATCAGTGCTTGGCAGAGAAGTGCAAGTACTGCAATAATACTTGACCCCTCTGTGGCAGCATAAAGTGGTAGCCGCCTTGCTGCCTCTCCTCAACAACACACGCACACCGAAACTAACCAGAATCTGGCCTCATGTCACTACCTACACTGTATTGTACCATCCAATTCTCAAATCACCTACATTGTATTCCATGCAATTATGATGTAGGTTTGTTGTCATAATTAGATGCATGCAAACACAGCTTTACAACAGCCAAAGTAGGGATAAAGAATTTCTCTCTAGTACATGTACCAGGACCACAATATGTTATTGTTTTACTCTGTGGCATTTGTGTAGACACCATCTGTTCTAAAAGGGGATTGTGTGAAGGCAGGAGGGAATGGCACTGTGGATGTTGGTGGCTTTTCGACTTCTCTATTATGTCTTCTGTAATATGTACATAGTAAATACTGTCGAACACAAATTTTATTGAGGACACCCAAGATATAATCCCAAGTGAGGACAGGAAAAGGGAAGAAGACATCACACAAGAATAAGGCAGAAGAAGGGAGGAGGAAGCAAAGATAGGGCTAGTGAGGTTGCATAGGAGAACACCGAAGAAAGATTTCTTTGCAATAACTGTGGGAAACAGACATCTCTGCCAAAGCGTAATAGTGGTGCACAAGAATTATTGGATTTGTATGTGTTAGCCTGAGGTTAGAAAGAGACCACCTTTACCCTGTGCAATGCTTGGGGCAACTCACATTACTGCATATTGTCCGACTGCGGGTGAAAGCGGTGGAAGGCCATTACATTCAGGATATGGCTATTTGTTAAAAAAAAACCTTTTAAGGTGAAGAAGAAGAAAAGACAACACAGGCCAATGGGTGGGTGGGAGGGGCGTACAGTAAGAAGTGATAAACTGGCAGGAATCAGTAATTCACAAACATGGAATTGTCACCACAGCCTCAAACTAAGAAGAACAGATCTGAAGAGGAGGGTCTGCTTTTCAGCAGGGTTGCCACCCTTACTCTGAGTCCAAATGAATTACTGAGCTTTGAGAAAATCTTCTATAATAGGCAGTTTTTGCATATCTTGTGGCCCCATGCTGGTTCTTGATTATTCACATACTCCCAGTGAATCTTTTTAGCCACATTTGGGAAGTTTTTAGAAGACTAAATTAGTTTATATCCATTTTATGATTTACACGTGTTTCTCACACTGCCATCATATAATAATATTTACTGAGGGAATTTGAATACATTCACAAAGAATCTCAGAATTCATGTACTAAACACAACCAAGGCAGATATATTTTAGAGTCTGAGTTAGTTAATACAAATTCTGATCATGTAGCTTTCACCATTCCAGTTTACCACATCAATATCCTCTATTTAAAAAGTTACTTCTTTTGTAAACCCTACAAGTGAGTCTGTATATTTACATTTGAAAAAAATAACTGTATTCATCCCAATCTGCTGAGTCCCATCTCCCCGTGCCTATTAGTAAGTGTTCTGTATACAGCACCGCTTCAAGCATACTTTTTGATTTAATACATGTAACATAATAAAATAGGAATGTTTGATTTTTGTTGACAAGTTTTTTCTTGACCTCATGACTTCTGAGTTAACAGAAGCGTAATAATTATGCTCTGTATACAGTATAATAAACATGTGAATAGGAGTGAAAATACTTTATGAAAAGACAAATCAGACAACACTTGATTTTTTTCAATCAACAATAAATGATTCCTAAAAGAAATGAGGTCACACTGTAGAGGAGGGAGCACGCTGAGACAAGTGAAATACTTACATAAACATAAAAACAGCCGTACTGGGTCAGACAAATAGTCCATCTAACCCAACATCCTGTCTTCTGACAGTGGCGGATGCCAGACGCTTCAGAGGCAATGAACAGAACAAGGCAATTATGAAGTGATTTATCCCCTCTCATTCAATCCTAGCTTCTAGCAGTCAGACATCTAGCGACACTTGGAGCATGGGGTTGCATCCCTGACCATCTTGGCTAATAGCCATTGATGGACTCATCCTCAATGAACTTATCTTATTCTTTTTTGAACCTATTTATATATTTGGCTTTCACACATCCCTGGGCAACTAGTGCCACAGGTTGACTATGTGTGGTGTAAAGAAGTACTTCCTCCACACAACATAACATGACTGTGAACTATGAGTTTCTATTCAAGGAGTACTTTTAGAAACATTATTGGGATGGTAAATTTCAACTTGTTGCTCTTTAACCATTAGCTATCAGGTGCATTTTATAAAAATGAATACAATACTGTACATTGTACTTTAGATTTTCTTCCTTTTTTGTTTTTTTTTGTCGCACTTTAACATTGGGAACAGAATTTCAGCTCTTACCTTGTGTTTTCATTTTGGATCTAACCTATTTCTTATTAAATGTGCACCTTGGTGGACCACTGTGGAATTATGGCATTCTTTTCCTGTTTTGTTTGTGTTTTTATTTAAACTTGCTTTTAGTTTCTAAGGCTGACTATAATCAGTACGCATCAATGTTAGTATTTTCCTGTTTCAG